AACACACATAGGAAGACACCACCAGTCCAGCTGCTGGTGTAGATACCCTCAATTCATAGGGTATGTCACACACGGGTAACTTAAGTTTATCCATACAATTATCAGCAATAAAAGAATGGGTAACACCTGAATCAAACAAAACTCGTAGAGGTATATCAGAGATAAAACACACCCCTTGCACTAAATTCTCTGACATCGATGCCTCTGCTCCTGACAAGGCAAACACCTGTCCTGCAGCTCTAGGTTTCGTATCACTCCCCTTGGGTGCTAATGATGCCCCAACTGAGACTATAACAATGGGCTTCTGTGGACAGTCTCTAGCCATATGTCCTGGCTTCTGACAAGTGTAGCAAAGACCTGCCCGAGAAGTCTGGGAAGGAGTAGTGAAGGCATTCTGTGGGCACTGATTCCTGTAATGAGGGCCTCCACATTGAAAATATTTCACCCCGGATACAGATCCCGATGATCGAGGTGCTGGGTTAACACTGCCACTCCTGGAAGACTGGGGGCGTGAATAAGGCATCCTCCTCTCTGATCTACTACCCCCACTCGGGACCCCACTTGGGTGGGTCCTCATCACTCTGACTCCTCCCTCTTGGAGTCTCTCTATTGTCTTCGCTTTTTACTGTGCAAGAAAACTTCGTAACGAAGTTTTTTTCATGCACAGTAAATTTTTTTTTCTTTTATATGTTTGAAGGGGGGATGAATGGTTTCTGCGAAAAATTCTTCCTCCCATATCACATGTTCCTCATTCTTCTTCTTCTATTATCTAAATTTCAAGTAACGAGACTCTACTCGTGCAGGATCTGGTGAAACGGGAGAGAACTTGAATTAAGTGGGAAAACTTCGGTAGAAATACCATATCAGGTAAGGGGAAGTTTAATTCATTCAATATATGAAATTGAATTGCTGGGTACTCTGTGAATAAGGAATAGGAGTAGAGATATGAATTATTTGAATGTCTGATTTTGAAGAATTTCTGATTTTGATGAACTGTTCACCGTTTAAAAGTTTTTTAAATTCTTGAAATTAAGGATGAATTATATAATAAAAGTGTTGTTTTTAACTTAAATTGAACATGTTTATGGCTTAATTTTGATTTGGAACTAATTTGGGTGATTGAAACTGAGAAATTTGAAACCTGGATTTTGAAAATGGCGTACTGGAGGTGATTACTATTCATATTTTGCAAAGTTTTAAATATTGATTACATTCTTGAAATTAAGGATGAATTATATGGTAAAATTGCTGTTTTCAACTTAAATTAGATATAATTCATGTTTAATTTCGATTTGAGACTAGTTTGGTTGTCTAAAACTGAGTAATTTGAAATCTGCCAAAATTTGCAAAATTTGACACTGTTACTGGGCGAAGGAAGAAGAAAAGGATATGGTGGGGATTATTTAAAAAGATCAAGGGTAAAATAGTCATTTTTCATCCTAGGGACATAAATGTAATTTTCGAAAATGTTCAAGGGCAAAATAGTCATTTTACATCCTAAGGACATAAATAGAATTTTTGAAATTGTTCAAGGGTAAAATAGTCATTTTCGGGACATGGAAGAAATTTTTGAAAATGTCCAAGTGCAAAATAGTCATTTTCGGGACATGGAAGGAATTTTTAAAAATGACCAAGGGTAAAATAGTCATTTAGGGACATACATGAAATTTAAATAAAAGATTAAGGGCAAGATAGTAATTTAATGATTTCGAAAATGATTTCAAAAATAGTTTCAAAAATAGTTTCGGAAATAGTTTCGGAAATGATTTCGGAAATGATTTTAGAAAAATATATATATAAAGAGAGAGAGAATGAAAGTAGTGTGTTGTGACGTGTGTGAGTTAGACTGAGCTTGAGGGCTGATGCCCAGAATCAGTCTTGAGACGTTATATATTGGCTAGACTGAGCCGAAGGGTTGGTGCCAGAATCAGTCAAATACTATTTTTATTGACCCGAATGAGCCGTGAGGATAGGTGGTCCAGAATCCGGCAAATGTGAATAAATTTTGTTATGTTTGAATGGTACCCGGGGGTGGTACATAGTACATTAGTGTAATAATTATGTCGGAGGATTCTGAATGAGGTCCCAGACTTCACTGATTGGTCGGGTCAAATAGACTACGAGATCAGGTGGTGAGAAGTCGATGGGGGATGACTGGTGGCGCGCTCGGAGGGGTTCTCCAGTATGAGTGATGAAGGGCGCCAGTAATCCTACTCTGTGTGGAGGGTGGTCAGAATGGTACTGCGGGTATCGATCACAATGTGCCCACAGATGATAGCCTCTGAGTTCGGGCATAGTTAGGGTATACTTCCGGAAGGTGTCTTAGTGTGTTGATGATTTTGTAATTGATGATAATATATAATTATTACTTCTATATCTGTTTTATTATATCGAATGATTTAATACTTATCCCTGTTTTTCCATGTGAATGGGACTACGATGATCACTTTTATGTGGGAGCATATCAGGACTTGAGAGATGAAGATGTGACTACTGGACAAGAGTGATAGTTCAGTGAGATAACTTAGAGGGAGCTACTTTTACATGTATAATATATAAATAAATTATGTTACTATATTTTGAAGTTCCGTTAGTGAATCAGAATTTCAATCTATGTTACAATTACAGTAATATAATGTAAAATAGATGTTGTTATTTACTTGTTTACTACTTTGCGAAGACATCATTATAGTAGCGATTTCTATGATCGTTACATGTGAGAGTTATTAGGCCCTCAAATTTTCAGTTTTCCTAATTGAAAATAATATTTTATTTCTTTGGTTTTATTTTTTATTTTTTCTATATTCGTTGTTACCATAAGTTACATGTTACTATTTTAAACCAGAAAATTATTTGGATTCAACCAATTGAGATTTTCATTATATATTTTTATACATTATACATATATTAGACAGTCTTACAACAAGATTTTTCCGGCTTTTCAAGTAAAATAAATGCTTAAAAAATATTTTATTAAAAATAATCTGACATATTAATTGATTTTTTATCATATTTCAGAAATAATTTTTTAAATATTTTTATATGAACACAAAAAAAAATATTTTTCATTATTTTTAATATATTTTTTAATATCTTAATTGTTTTAACTCCTATTCCAATCAAAATTACTTATAAATATAATTTAAAAATAAATGCATAGTTGATATAAAGATAATATAATCTTGAATTTTATAATAACATATGAATAAATTTTTTAAATCGACAATAAAAAATAAATAGAAAGAAGTGATTTCTTTTAATTGTCTGTAATGTATAACAATTTATAAATCTCTCTCTCTGTATATATATATATATTGTTTTTACATTTGTTTAATACAATTTTATCCTAATTTATTTTATAACATAAGATTATGTTAAAAAAAAACACAATATATGTTTATTTTATTTTCTATAAACATTTATTTATATGTTGTTTGTAACTGCAAATCTGTTTCTTGTAGAGAAAAATATAAAATAATCATAATTTTTATATTATTATATTCAATTTTAACTGTTACTATTTGTTACTTTTCTTCTTTTATATTTATTCTCTTTTATAAAATGAATATACGTCAATATTTGTAAAAAATAATTATTATGAGATATTAAATTATGTTTAATAAATTTAAAAACTACAAAAAAAATCAGTATAATATGTATGTTTTTGTTAATAATATCAATAATCAAAGGATATATATATATATATATATATATATATATATATATATATAAAATATCTTGTTTCGTTATTTTTTTTTATTTTATATATTTTTTTTTTCAAAAGTTTGCTTATTGATATTAAATTATACTTTGTTCATCTATGAAAACAGAAAATTGAATATCAGTTTTACCATAATATGAATTTTCCTATTTTAACAAAACTTTTTTTTATGTATGCATTTATTTATTTATTTAATGTATGCATTTATTTATTTTCTTATATAGGAATATATTTTTTTTAGCAAACAAAAGATGGAAGACTCTCCGTTTCCTGGGACTAAACTTTATGAATTTTATACATATTAATGAATGAAATATTAATAAATAAATAATTGTGAATTTAAATGATTTTTTATTTAAATTATGTTAATTTGTTAAACAACTCTAATATCAACTGATTGGAGCGCAAAAATTGACACAAATAGCTACATATATAAAATTAATTTAATTTAATATGTTATATTGTATACTTCGGTATTTTTATATTATTTTAAAAAAGTGATAAATATATTCCATTCCAAATAATTTTATTTTGATAATGTATTTGGTTAAGATTTAAAATAAATGAATTAAACCATATACTAAAAAGTGGTTAACTTAAGAATAACTCTTTTGAATTCCACAAAACATATTTAAATTATCAACCATTTTTAAATTTAAATTGGTCTGTGAAGTTGGAAACAAATGTCATAAATAATAATAATAATAATAATAATAATAATAATAATAATAATAATAATAATAATAATAATAATGATTCATTGATAACTCATAACAAAAAGAAAAGAAAGATGAGATATTATATTGGAATAATAGTAATATATAATCAGTGAATTAATAATTAAATATATAAGTAAATTTTTGAAAATAGATTAATTATCAATCTTTATTCTTAAAAGAAACATAACAAAAATATTAATATATATGAAATTAACAACCTATACCTGAAATAATATCATTTAGAAGTCAAACTAATGGTACAAATGTTTTTAGAAAATGAGAAACTACAACGTTTTTTTTTTTTTTTAACAAATATAATCTGTGATCACTTCCAAATTCAAAAAATTATAAATTTTGAATATTAAAGTGCAATCTTCATCACAGGCCCAAATTATACACGAGGCCCATGCTAGTTCCCAAAAGTGAAAAAAAAGTTTGGTTACACAGGCAGATTATGACATAAAATAACACGTTAATGGTGTCATGTTTCACTCTTTTCTCTGTGCCAAACGAACACGACCACTATTACGGTTAATCCAACCGTTTGATTCGTCCAGGTCATGGCGCTTTGGCACCGAATCGGAAACCTCAAGCTCAGAACCCTGTGCACCCAATTCAAACGATCTTACATTCATCTTCTCCATGCTTCCGCCCCCAAACCGTGCCCTGTGGACATTCCACAGCCGAATCCCGTGTTTCATGGCAGTCCCAATAGCGTTTTCAGTACCGTGAGATTCTTCGCTGCACCAGTTCAGGTAATTTTTCACATTTTTATTGGCTGAGACTGTCAAACTTGCTGCTTTTGCTCTGTATTTGGAACTGGGTTGCTCAGTGATGGATCGTTTTATTTTAGATCACGGTATAGTGTTGTGGGGTTGCCCTTGGTTGTTGAAGTGGTACACTTTGAATTTGATGATACTTTGTGGGATTTCAGTTTCAGGTAAAGCACAGGAATGTGGAGGAGGATCCAAGTGAGCTACGGTTGAATGAGAAAATCACAGCTTCATATGTCAGGCTTGTGGAGGATGATGGTAAACCTGTTACCCTTTTGAATTAAGGCTGGTTTGGTCGTTTGTTTTTTAATGTATTCAGAGTAAACGTAACCCGCAATGTTAGTATACAGAATTTTTACAGTTGCACCTCATAATGATATAACTGTTTTCTTCTCTTTAGACCTCTTCAACGAAGATAAACTGCAACGGAGTCTAGGGCCTTGTTCAGGCCTAAACTCAACTTGAAGTTCCCAAATAAACATACATGCAAATTTGAACCATATTAATATTAATCAGTACATGGGGCTTGGAATATCAGCTTTGTGTGTTATTTACCCTATAAACGCTCCAGAAATTTTTCTCAAGCTTTGAATTTCCCATTAAGTGTATGAGTTCATGCAGGGCATTCAATAGTACCAAGGTTTGAAGCATTGGAACGTGCCAAGGCGCTTAAACTTGATTTAGTTGAGGTAAATGAATTTTTTTATGTCTTTTTGCCCTTGTTAAATTAAATGAGACATTTTTTTAATATGAAAGTTATTAAGACTTTTGCCGAGAGATACCTACAAAATAGAGATGCTGAGTTAAAGTAGATAACATAATTTCAAGTAAATTCATCATTTACTTGTTTTTTTTTGCATTCTTGGAATCTTTTAAGTCATTCTTTTATAATGGCTCTGGACTTAATCCTTCTAAGTTCTCACCTTAAGTTGGGGAAAAAATAAACGATTGTGTCTTATATTATGTCGTGATTGTTTTCATCATCATGAACAATATATCCTTAATAACAGGGATATTTTGTGACTAGTGATAGGTAACCTATATACCCATGCATCAAAATTTTCAAACTGTAAAGTATTGAAATTTGCGTGTGAATATACATGAAGAAGGTTGGGTTGAGCTCATATAGGATGCTTCCTTTTTGACATTTATTATATGATAATTTGGTCATATGACAGGTTGATAAAAGAGGTAAACCTCCCGTATGTAAAATTATGGACTTCCACAAGGAAATATATAAGCGACAAGAAAAGGAAAAGGAACGTGCTAAAAGCAAGGTACAGTGTGCAATGGAAATTGCTCGTGAAACTTCTTTATCATCATCACATCATTAATGCTAAATATTGTCATACTCATTTTAGTTTCATAATGGAATGTTCAAACGTAGGAATCTTTGTTAGCAAAGCAGTGGGACTGAATGACCTTTTTGCCTGTTAGAATACGTGTGCCATATTATCTATTAAATGTGTCGGCAACATAATCGGATATGTGTAAATAAAAGTAAAATGTAATTCAAATGAGGATTATGGGTATGTAAAGCTCCTAAATCACCATATACTGTTAAAATCACTAGCACATACTTGTTTGTAATCTTTATGAGTCAAGATCAACTTGCTAAGAATGGCTTTTACCATCAACAATTGCATGTTTCTTATAGCAATGATGGTTTAAAAATCAAACTGTATATAATACTAGGAACTAGAAGTGAATCTTTGCATTTTCAGTACTAAAACAAAACCCCAATATTGTGTTCTATGAAAAGTTAAAAACTTCTTTCATAATTAATGAGTGCTTTACATTTTAATTACTTATAGCAATGATTTGGTGCACTGGTGCTAAGTGGTGGCTTAAACCCAGTATAAAATATTGCTTACTTTTAATGGGAGCAACTGAGCAAGAAATTTTCATGGTTTATGGATTAGTTTGAATAAATGCAGTAAGGTTGTCGCCTTTTGACCAGGAGGTCATAGATTCAAGTTATGAAAACAGTCTGCTCTGTGCAGATAAGACTGTCTACATGTATCCTCCCCAAACCTTGCTAGATGGGAGTCTTGTGCCTGAGTTGCAGTTATATGGTCATTATGCTATTGTGGCATGTTTGGTGTCTTGTAAAAGACAAATATTTGTTTAGATCATTAAATGTAATGATCCTATTTTAATCAGTTTTCTGACAAATGCAGGCTGACATGACACTACGAAAGGATATTAAAGAAGTGCGATTTTCTGAAAAAACTGTAAGCTTTTTCTATTTTGATTCTTTTATTTTTCCATGTCCTTTATATGTTTTACCAAACTTCTTCCTTATAGAATTATCTACTACTATAAATTAAGTCTGGTAGCACCTAGGTTTTACTAGGTTTCCAATTGTGACCTGGAAGCCCTTGCTTGTTTTGGCAATAGAAAATCAAAATTTCACATTTTCCAATTGAAGCACATGTCCCTATCTAAATCTATGGCACTGATTAATTTGGATACATTACGTTCTAAGGAAAATTTAATTGATTGAAATTTCTGCCGTTGATGTTTTCAGGAAACAAAAGACCTGAAGAACAAAGCGGGTATGATTATAAAGTTAATGGAGAAGGGTTATCGGGTGAAGGTACTCTCTTTCTATTGTTTGGTTTTTGAACTAGATTTTTCGTCTGTATATTAGTTTCTGCAGTATTTGAGGAGCAACCTTATATGATATGAATCACAAGGGGTAATTTAGGATCTTTAGGGTTAGAACCTTGTAAGAAATTTAGGAATTAGAAAGAAGGTGGAAGGAAAGAATCACTCTTCCCAAGGGAGGCAACACACAAAGGATGTGACAGTCCTTTGATACAGCCAAGGGTTCTTGAATCACTCAAGAATTTAGGAGAATCACTCTCACTAAGATAAAAGAGATAAATTCTAATATTTCTGAATAAAATTTCACTTGTTATTTCTTGATAAGAATGGTTCAGCTGATATAGAAGCGTTGCCATCGAATTACAAAAGACTCAATAAAAGAAAATAAATACTAATAATAACTCATTAATCTAGGAATTGAAAACTATTTAATGGAAACAAATAAAGGCTAATAATGATTCATTAACCTAGGAATTGAAACTACTTAATGACTGATTGTATCCGAAACCGTGGCAACCAAAAGTCAATCAGCTATGCACCCCTTGGTCTCCCAAAGGCTGATGACTAAATTTTCAATTGGGCCCTTATTACAACTTAAAACAAAATCAAACTAAAACCCATTAATTGATTAATCCAAAACACAATTTGGTCAACCAATAATACTTGTTGAAGAACTTCCTTTCTTTCCCTTGCTCTAGCCCTTATCATAGGTCATGTTCACATCATTCTCTCCCTCTTGAAAAGGATTTGTCCTCAAATCGGATTCATCATCTACATTAAAAAGAGATAAGTCTGACAAATTAAATGTAGAACAAACATTATACTCATTTTTTATGGCTAAATAGCTCTGTTTCACTTCAAGTGTTTCACTCTTCTTTTGATGACTTTTTTTCCTCTCAAGTGTTTCACTAACGCTTTCTTTCTCTCTCTTTTCTTGAAGAAGTTTTTCTTTCATTTTCTTTTTATCCTCACATACTTCTTGTGGACTCAAAGGTTTGAGCACAATCTTCTTGTCTTGGTGTATGAAAGAAATCTTGTTGGTGAACCCGTTATGATTAACCCTTTTATCAAATTGCCATGGTCTCCCCAAAAGTAAATGACTGACTTCCATAGGAATAATATCACAACGCACCTTATCATTGTATTTTCCAATGGAAATGTCCACTTCAACTTGTTGTCTCACTTGCACCTCTCCATCCTTACTAAGCCATTGGAGTTTATATGGCCTAGGATGTGGTTTGGTAGCTAAATTTAGCTTTGATACTAATCTAGCACTAGCCACATTGGTGCAACTACCTCCATCTATGATCATCATGCACACCTTGTCATTGATTAAACATCTAGTGTGAAAAATATTTTTTCTTTGGTTTTCTTCCATAGGTTTCAATTGACTATCAAATAATCGCCTAATCATCAATAAATCTCCCTTTGGAATCTCTTCCTCCTCAGTGTCTTCACTCTTTTCTCCCTCTTGAACCTCAGATTCACTTATATATTCTCCCTCTCTAAGAATCATGGTCTTTGTGTTAGGGCACTCATAAGCATAGTGTCCTAGGCCTTGACACTTGAAACACTTCACATCTCTACTTTTTTTAGAGGGTTGTTCTTCATATTTTGAATGAGTCTTTGTAGGAATAGGTGTGGAACTACTAGAAGTAACAGTCCCATCTTTTTTGCCTTTGTCCTTCCAACTTGAAAATCCAAAGTTGGTAGAACTCTTCTTAGTCACTTCTTTTCTTTTGAGTTGTTGCTCCACTCGAATTGCTTTATGAAGTAAATCCTCCATATCAACAAACTCCTGCAACTCAACAATATCACATATATCAATATTCAAACCACCAATAAATCGGGCCATAGTTACCTCTTCATCTTCTTCAATCTTTGCTTGAATCATGAGCATGTCCATTTCTTTGAAATACTCCTCAACCCCTTTGTTGCCTTGAGTAAATTTTTGGAGTTTAAATTTCAAGTCCCTTGCATAACTAGCCGGCACATACCGCTTCCTCATGATCCTTTTCATCTCAGTCCATGTATTAACCATTGGCTCTTCATTTTTATCTCTCTCCTTTTGTAGCTTGTTCCACCAAACAAGAGCATAGTCAGAAAATTCTGTTGTTGCAAGCCTCACCTTTTGGGTCTCCTCATAATTGTTGCATGAGAAAACATGCTCTATTTTCATCTCCCACTCCAAGTATGCTTCTGGATCACTTTTTCCTTTGAACGGAGGAATGTTAAGCTTGACCCCTTCAAGCCTACTTGGTCTTGTTACTCCATCATTCATTCTCCTATTTCTCCTTTCTTCTTCGTCTTCAGGATTTCTATTCTCCAACCGATTCAATCTTTCATAGAGCTCATTGTTATGTCGTATCATTAATCCTTCCAAATGTTGTACCAATACTCTCATTTGAATTGGACTAATTCCTGCTTCTTGATTGTAATTTTCCTCTTCTGCCATCAATTTAATGTTCAAACCTTTAAACCGGAGCTCTGAATACCAAATGATATGAATCACAAGGGGTAATTTAGGATCTTTGGGTTAGAACCTTGTAAGAAATTTAGGAATTAGAAAGAAGGTGGAAGGAAAGAATCACTCTTCCCAAGGGAGGCAACACACAAAGGATGTGACAGTCCTTTGATACAGCCAAGGGTTCTTGAATCACTCAAGAATTTAGGAGAATCACTCTCACTAAGATAAAAGAGATAAACTCTAATATTTCTGAATAAAATTTCACTTGTTATTTCTTGATAAGAATGGTTCAGCTGATATAGAAGCGTTGCCATCAGAATTACAAAAGACTCAATAAAAAAAAATAAATACTAATAATAACTCATTAATCTAGGAATTGAAAACTATTTAATGGAAACAAATAAAGGCTAATAATGATTCATTAACCTAGGAATTGAAACTACTTAATGACTGATTGTATCTGAAACTGTGGCAACCAAAAGTCAATCAGCTATGCACCCCTTGGTCTCCCAAAGGCTGATGACTAAATTTTCAATTGGGCCCTTATTACAACTTAAAACAAAATCAAACTAAAACCCATTAATTGATTAATCCAAAACACAATTTGGTCAACCAATAATACTTGTTGAAGAGCTTCCTTTGTTTCCCTTGCTCTAGCCCTTATCATAGGTCATGTTCACATCATTATAGCAATCTTGTTTGTGGAGCAATCTTGTGTAATAAGAATGATCTATTGCAAGAATTATCCAACCAGACAATAACAATTACAATGCTAAACAAGGAACAATTAAGAATCTCTACAATTGAAACAACTGAGTACTGAGAAATAAATTTTCATAAAAGACAATGAGAGAGGTGGGAATTAGTTATAGCAACTTCACGAGCAATTCCCTAAGAAACGACACCTGAGAAGAGAAGGAATTTCAGAATGAGTTTCATAATAGGGAAAAGAGAATCAGCAAGATGTAGAGAGGAAAAGGCAAGAAGAATTCAGAGTGAAGAATTAACCTCAAAATCATCGCCAATTTGTGTAATCCTTTAGCCTTATATTCTCTCTCCTTTGCCTAGTGCTATGCCTGACTCCCACATGTCCTTCATTTCTAACAGAATTTCGCGCCATTGTCTCTGATTACTTCCTTGCTGTTACATTACCCTCCTCATCAAAAACAACCTTGTCCTCAAGGTTGAACATTGGATAAGAGTCATGTATCTCCTGCAAATCTTCCCAAGTAGCATCCTTAACTTTAGTATCTTCCCATTGTATTAATAGCTGAGGTACAGTAGTGTCTAGGTGTTTCACAACACGCATGTCTAACACCTGCCAAGGAGAGAGCATAGGTCCCAATTCACAAGAAGTCAATGGAAACAGAAGATATGGCTGAGAACCTTTGCCATGAAATGGTTTCGAAAGTGCAATATGAAACACAGGATGTATCTTAGCAGATGCTGGGAGTTGGACTTTATAAGCTACTGTACCAATCCTTTCAATTATTGGGAATGGGCCAAAATAACGCATACCAAGCTTCTGATGTTTCCTCAAAGCCAATGAATGTTGCCTATATGGTTGAAGCTTAACCAATACCAAATCTCCAACCTTAAATTCCAATTCCCTTCGTTTCTTGTCAGCCTGCATCTGCATGTACTGTTGGGCTTTTAGTACATTATCCTTAAGCTTGATTAAAAGCTTATCATGTTGCTGTAAGGACTCCTTAAGTGAAATAGGATCTTTAGGATTAGGCTCATAATGCATCAAAGATGGTGATGATCTACCAAAAATAGCTTGAAAAGGTGTCATACCCAAACTTTGATGAAAAGAAGTATTATACCAAAATTGAGCCCAAGGTAGCATAGCAACCCAACTCTTAGGGTGTTCAAAAACAAAGCATCTCAAATACATCTCTAAAGTCTTATTTAGATTCTCTGTTCGTCCATCGGACTGTGGGTGATATGAAGAACTCATGGCTAATGTTGTTCCTTGAGCTTTGAATAACTGTTGCCAAAAAGAACTGATAAAGATTTTGTCTCTATCGGAAACAATGGTTTTTGGGAACCCATGAATTTTGACTATGTTATTAATGAACGCTTCAGCAACTACCTTACTATTAATTTCAGATTTCAAGGGAATGAAGTAACCAAATTTGGGTAGCCTATCCACTATCACAAAGATGGTGGTAAATCCTTGTGAGGATGGTAATTGAACAATAAAGTCCATTGCTATGTCTTCTCAAATTTGCTGAGGGATGGAAAGGGGCTGCAATAATCCTGCTGGTAGTACATGATCAACTTTAGCTTGATGGCAGATTGCACATTCCCGCACAAACTTTCCAATATCATTGCGCATTCTAGTCCAATAAAATTGAGCAACAATTCTAGCTACTGTCCTATTGACTCCAGCATGTCCCCCAATCTTTGAACAATGAAATTTTGTCATGATTTGATGGAGTAACTCTGAATCTTGTGGTAGCACAATTTTGCCTTTAAACAAAAGTAACCCATTCTGAATGCTATAATCAGAATATGAC